GGGGGGGGGGGGGGGGGGAAATAATCAGGAGGGGGTGTATTGTGCAAGGCGGCAGGAGGTGGGTGGAAAAGAATGATGCACGAGAAAGACAGGAGAGGAGAGAGGGATGCAGGAGAACCCTCTGGAGCCCATCAGTTGTGGTGTGAGTGAAAGGGGTCAAAATTATGGATGGGGAAGCTGCAAAAGGCCCCCGCTTTGCCGGCCGGTTACGGCTCCTGTGAGCTCAGCTGCCAGAGCCTGGGGTGCAGGAGTCAACGTGGCAAATAGCCAGCGCTAAATAAATTATGACCCGCGGAAGTGGATCGATGATCCCGGGAAGACGTGCCAGCTCGCTGCTCTGCCCGCACACGGCGGGAAGGCACTAAGGCTGAGGCAGCTCCCAGAATGCAGCGTGCCCAGAAAATGGCACGAGTATGACATGAGTACCACACAAGTATGGCATGATTATACCAGAGCATAGCATGAGTACAACATGAGTATGGCACAAGTACGGCATGAGTATACCAGAGCATGGCACGAGTTTGACATGAGAATGACACGAGTACAGCATGAATATTCCAGTACATGGCACAAGTGCGGCACATGTATACTAGAGCATGACACGAGTATGGCATGAGTACGGCAGAGCGCGGCATGTCCCTCAGGGTGCCCCCTGACATGCCCTTGGCCTTGCACAGGGGTACCTCCCTCACACAAGGGTTTTAACCCAGTTTATACCTTGTCCTCCCCAGGACTGAAAGTTGTTGTGTGGAAAAGCAGTTTTTGAAAAGGGAAAGTTGGTTGGTCTGATACGGAAGCTCTTTGAATTATTTTATAATGAAAATACTTTTGCTACTTTTGTCATTCCTTTGAGCTAGAAGATCTTTTAAAAAGATGGAACTGTAGTCCTTAACCAGCAGAAGCTTGTTATAGTTTGGTTGTACGGATTTCTTTTTATAAGCTTTTTTGCATAGTGAAGAGAGATTCGTATGTGCGATCTCAGTAGCAAATGTGTTAATTGTGCAGCTCGTGTAATTTCATTTTTTTAACTTCAGGCAGATGTTCATAAAAGTGTGAGGTTCCGTGGTGATGGATGGATGGAGGTTTAGAGCTTGTTACTTTTTGTTTACCCACCGTAGAAGCAGCATCATGAGTGAGACTCGCCAATATCACTCACTAACCTTGTCACCCTGACCTTGCTATGTGTCACCCTCACGGCTGGTCTCTGTGCTCCTCTGTTGTGTTGTGTCTGCATTACAGCTGGTCTCTGTGCTCCTCTGTTGTGTTGTGTCTGCATTACAGCTGGTCTCTGTGCTCCTCTGTTGTGTTGTGTCTGCATTACAGTGTCTGTGCATCTTGTT